CCTTGACTCAAATTATAGAAGAATAGAAGAGATGTCCGTGTCACACCCACTCCGGCGCTCAATACGTTGCATTGTAGAGTGCTTCTCGCTATTTGCCTCATCACGTTAATAAATCTCTTGATTTTAAACTTCATTTTGAGCATTAATAATTTACAATAACTTTTCATTTTAACTTCATTTTGAGTATTCAGTAAATACAATTGAGGCATTCAAAATGACATATTGAAAAATTGTTACACAGGTTCTGCAGTAGCAAAGGTTTGTGGATTTATTAAACAAATCGATTTTAAGGCGACTCTTTTACCGGATTCCTCCTGTAGACTGGTTGTTTAAGGATCATATTTCCAGTGTGCTGCTAAATCTATTAAATACGACACATAACCATCAATATTACCTTATCAGAGAGGTTTGCACTCTGACATTAGCATTAATTACAATTTGATTGCAGTAGTAATGTGATCAAAGCATGCAGACCGCTGCTCACAGTAAAGAAGTCCCATGGTCCGTGACTAATACGTATTGACAAACTGTCGCCTTATTAAATAAAAAAATGTTGCTTGTTTGTCGAGTAATTTCGAATTTCAGTTTCAAGGGGTATCAAAATGAACGTATAATGTACGATATATCCACATTGGCCTTATCGTGGGGTCTACGATAATTCAATTTCGGCAATCTAGAAAGCGTTAGTAATAGTATGACAAACGTTAGTACTACTTAATTTAAGCTTCGTATACGTTCCTCTTTCCCTTAATTGAATTTGGTGTTCACGTCATCGGATTGCGTGTAAGTCGTTATAAAGTCCTCCCGCCTCCCAGCAAATAACAGGATGAAAAGCTCAGAATATTTACTATTTGACCTGCAATAATGGATAAACGCTGCCATTAAGATGAGAGTATACCAGTCAATTTTAACAAGCCTTTACGATTTCTGTCCTGTTTGAATTGTCGAAACTCTCAGAGGCGTATTCCAGGGGCTGTGGGAAGCCGAGTAAAAAATAACGAATATAACTGCGTAAATACTGGTGGTACCAGGATTTTCCCGACGTGGGTTCAGATGCCAACGACGGGAGAGGGGAAGGGGTGGGTGGGGAAGGATGTCTAAAGAAAAGCCCGAAAGTATAAGTCGGAATGTCTTACTTAATCGATATTAGTCTTACGTTCTGTAAAACTTATTATTGAGGGGGTTTTTTTCTTCTTGATGAATTGATTGTTCTCCCCGACAGGGGGGAGGGCAGTCCTCCCTGGCAAGGGGTGGGGGCATTGGCCTCACCACTAAATACATCCACAAATACACATAAAAAGACAACTTTATTGAAAATTAATGAAGAGGTTCTGATACTGATTTTGATAATGATACTATTTGAAATAGCTCCATGGTTTGACATTTGGAGTGAAGCTTTAATGAAAACACAATTTGCAATTATCCTGTTCTGGGAGATTCAATGAATCATTTTGGACCAATCAGAAACAAAAACTGCAAAGATCTCCGGATCTGAATGTGTACGGTACTCCTTGACGCCCCTGTAAGAAGCAATGGTGGGGTCGTGGTAGCGGAGTGTGCTATTGAATTATAATTACAGACGTGATTCAGTGCTGCTACCTTGACGTTTTCTCGATTTCGAAACATGAGAAACAAAGGCCTACGCCGGTTTGTCGAGTTAATAACTTTTGTACAATACTACAATTTTTTATTTTTAATCGCTTACATTGTATACATGAATTATTTTTGAAAATTCAAAGGAGAAAATATTGTTGGTTTCTATTTTCTGCGCGCTGATTCGATTCACTGGTAATTAATATAATATTTATTGGGGGTAAAAAAAAAAGTATATCAGCCAAAAAAACAAAAAAAAAACCCGTTTTGTTCGATCTTTTGGGATAACTTATTTGATCATTTAACTAAGCAACTGAATATTTTAATTGGATATTCGAGGTTCTAAATTATATCTTACAGACAATATGCCTACTTTTAATAACCGAACCTTAACGGGCGTTGCGTGGGAAACTCCTAATACATAAACCAAATGAAAGATCCCACGTTATTATCATAATTACAACCATCATATGCAATATGCTATAGTACTAAACACACGCGCGCGCGTTTGTTTAACCCACACAGGCGCTGTACGTCAATACGTAATTTGTATGCGTCGTATAACACCCCGGGGTTTGCAGAAGTAGATGAGAGGAGTAATGGCCGATCTTACCACCTCATTTACGATTCCAACGAGGTATTTTCAAAGTGGGTAATTGAGCGTCTCAGGAGACAGCGTTGCTATTGTACATAATCCTTGCGGATAATCCAATGAACGTTCCGGCCGAAAAACACAGATTATGGGTAGTTAATGTTGATCCACATCAAATGTCAAAAATAGAATCGAGAAAAATAAGCACATTATCAGTTATCAAAACAGGAAATTTATAGGGTTTCAACAATTTTTAAAGGCAACAAAATTAAAATACTGGCAATTATTGCATATCATAATGTCATTGGAACACGTGGTATTTAATATAATATAATAGGCAACTAGAACGGAATTGTACACAGTACCATGAATATGAACGCAATCATTACAGATACGTGTTTACAGTAAGTGATGCAAACAAATTGTGATCATAGGCATAATCAAGGCATTCATAAGCAAAAAAATTATCTCAATAAAAAAATATTCATATATCGTTTATAAATTCCAGAAACAATCACTTCAAATGCGAAGGCTAGGCCTATGGTAGGTCTATAAAAACAAAGGAACAATGCGAGCAAACCCAAATGTAGGCTAACACGTGGACATAAATAATTTTGAAGTAGGGAGTATGTTCTCTTAAAATGCAGTGATACACATCTAGTCCAAACCGACGGGGCGGGGCACTGGAACCTGTATTTCGCAGGGAAAAGCTGGAGACCAGCTTGATGGAGTAGAACCACTGACTTATATACCTTATTGTTTAATGAACCTTTCTTTTAAGTCCTGCTTTTTGGATATTTTACTAAGATCCATTAAAACGACAACTACGTAAACGTACGTTAACGCTGCGGGACAAGCGCGTATTCCTGGCCCTTTTCGGATTGTTCATTTTTTTTTATTACTTCGGAAAAGGTCCATTTCAGTACACATAGGATGGTTACCAATAGTTAACCAAAGATGTTGTGCTGCTACAGCCTATGATCTGTATCTTATAGGTAAGGGGATGGAAAATTGCTTGCACACGTTATTAACTACTTCATAATTGCATCAATATCAATTATTTACAGGTCAGCTGCAGCTCAAACATTCAAAGCTATATTGACTAGTTATTAAAACATAGTTGAGTAGATGTTACTGGAAAACCAAATCATAAAACACAGGCCCAAGATCTAGGTCTAAGTATAGACCACCAAACTCTTAATCAGATTATGATCTACCTTATTAATTTTTTTACCTTTATGAGCACTAACATTATCATTAACATTACTGTATTTCCATTTGCCATTAAATCAATAATCACAATTATATTACCATTACTATTACTCTACCTTACTATTATTACTATTGATACCATTATATTTATTACCATGAACTTTATCATCATTATCATCATTCATCAACATCCTCCTCCTAATCATCACCACTGTCAACACAACCACCACCACCATCAACATCATCATCATCCTCTCCTCCTCATCAGCATTATCATCCTCATTATTACTATCAACTTTATCATCGTCGTCATAAGCGTCACCATCATCCTCATCATTTAACACGCAACATGTTAGATGATTAACAAATCTGTAGCCCACATTCACAGATCTATGCCTTCGATAAATGAAAACAACCTGTGATGCACTGCACATCCTTGCCTCGAGCCTCTAAAGAGCAGGCACAGAATGCAACAACATATTAATAAAAAAGAATCAGAGAAGCAATCAACTACACATCAAATGCATGCCAATGATACCGTGACCAACACCTGCCAATGATGGCCTACTATCCCACTGTAACAACCTTGTGACATTTATATCAAACTTACATATAATGCTACAAAGAGGTACTAAAAAAATTTACACTTGACGCAAAAAGCTTTTACAGCTAATATTAATAGTAAAAAGGCTCTACCGACACAAATTTTGAAGGTAAACACAACCATTACACTCTAGAACTGATTTTCAGATATATTTTTTTTATCCATGCTGTGAATTACTCGAAAGCTATCTTACAGACCTTATGTGTGTAATTGTATATATGTATGTATGTATGTATGTATGTATTGATGAAATATATATATATATTTTATTTTATATATATATATATATATATATGTAAAAATA